TGGCCCCAAAATATCCATGCCCCATTTTGCAAAGGGAATTGGGCTGTGAATAGCTGTCAAATCAGTTGTCGGCTGCCTTATCAGCCGGCCGAACCTCTGGCACTTGTCGCATCTTTTCACCAGATCTAATGCATCCGCCTCTAGTGTAGGCCAAAAGTATCCTTGTCGCCGGGTTCTTTTGGCGAGGGTCCTCCCGCCAATGTGAGATCCACAGAAGCCGGCGTGGAGATCTTCCAGTATTTCCTTGCCCCGTTCTGGGGTAACACACTTGAATAGCGGCTGCAAGTAACCCTTCCGGAACAGTTCACCTTTGTGCATTGCGAAGCTTAATGCTCGTCTTTTAAGAGCAGCTGCTTCGGATGAGGTTTCCGGTAGAGTGCCGTCTACCAAGTAATTCCGGATGGGGTCCATCCAAGTGGAGCTTCGATCTAGAACTCCAATGGGGTCATGTTCAATGCTTTTCTTTTCCATGACTTCCCAGAAGACTGATCTAGGCGTATCACATGTGGCGGAGGATGCAAGTTTGGATAGTGCATCCGCCTGATTATTCTCGGATCTGGGTACTTGACTTAGGTTGAATTCATCAAATGCCCCAGCCTCCTCTTTGACCGCCTGTAGATACATAATCATCACCGGATGGGTGGCCTCGTAGTCACCGTTGTACTGGCTAACGATGAGTTGGGAATCTGAGCAGGCATCAACTTTCCTTGCCCCGACTGCCTTACACATGCGTATACCGGCTAGCAGGGCTTCGTATTCAGCTTCATTATTCGAAGCTTGAAACTTGAATCGTAGAGCATACTCGTATTTGTCCCCCTCCGGAGAGTGAATAATTACACCCGCTCCGCAACCATTCAGCGTAGAGCTCCCGTCTACATAAACCCTCCAAACTTGATCAGTTTTATCCGGCTGTATTGGCCTTGTCATTTCAACGATGAAGTCGGCAAACGCCTGACCCTTCACTGCTCGCCTGGGTTCGAAAGTGATTTCTAAGCTTTGGATTTCCACAGCCCATTTAATCATTCTTCCGGATGACTCTAAAGTGGTCATAGGCCTTTTGAGCGGCTGATCAGTGTAAACGGTCACCGGATGTGCTAAAAAATACGGTTTCAGCCGCTTGACTGCTTTGAACATGTAGAGAGCCTCCTGGGGTAGGGGACTCACAAATCTTGGCAAAGAATGCAGGTGTTGCTTCAGCCGTTGAAATGCCGCCTCAGCCTCTTCACCCCATTCAAACCTTGACCTCTTTTTGATTGCTTGAAAGAAATACAGGCACTTGTCACCTGACCGGCTGAGGAATCTCCCCAATGCCGCCAGGCAACCGGTAAGCTTTTGAGCCTCCCTGACGGTACGTGGCGACTGCATGTCAATCACCGCCTGTACTTTGTCCGGATTGGCCTCTATGCCCCTCTGATCAATAAAAAATCCAAGAAACTTCCCGGACTCAACTCCAAAGACGCATTTTTTTGGATTTAACATGACTTTATGCCGTCTGAGGGTGGTGAGAGTTTCTCGGAGGTCGGCTAGATGATTCGCCTGCAGCTTTGATTTGACAATCATATCATCAATGTACGCCTCCACGTTCCTTCCAATCTGATCATAAAAGACCGAGTTCATCATTCGCTGGAAAGTAGCAGGCGCATTCTTCAACCCAAACGGCATCACCGTGTAGCAATATAGCCCTTGATCTGTGACGAAAGCCGTCTTCTCTTGGTCTTTCTTCCACAAGGGTATCTGATGGAAGCCGGAATAGGCGTCCATGAAACTCATCAGGGCATGGCCGGCTGTAGAGTCTACCAAATGATCTATCTTTGGAAGCGGGTAGCTATCTTTTGGACAAGCCCTGTTGAGGTCCGTGTAATCTACACACATCCGCCAGGTTCCATTCGGCTTTTTCACAAGGACGACATTGGCTACCCAATCCGGGTAGTAACATTGCCGGATGAATCCAGCATCCAAGAGTTTCTTGACCTCGGTTGCTGCCGCCTGGGACCTTTCCTCGCCATGGTTCCGTTTCTTTTGCCTGACCGGCTTCTTCTTAGGATCCACAGCGAGTCTATGTACAGCAAGATCCGAACTTACACCCGGCATCTCTTCTACTTCAAAGGCAAACACATCTTTGAACTCCTTCAGCAAAAGGAGCAAATCTGATCCCAAACTTTCAAACGCAGCCGTTCCAACCTTGACGGTTCTGTCTGGCCGGCTGTCTTCAAGGACAACATCAATTATTTCTCCAGCCGGCTGAGGGCGAAGGACGTTTGTCCTCTCCCCGGACAGTGATTGCTATTGTTTCTCCTTCACAGGCGCCAGTTGGTCCGCCTTCCTCTTTTTACCGGCTGGCTTTGTAGCCGGTAAGCTTTGATCACAGTCGTCAAGTTCAACAATTTCTTTCTCTTGACCGCCTGTGTCAAGCGTTGGTTTGATGTCCGAGAGGTAACACTCTCTCGCCATCTTTTGGTCCCCACTCAAGGAACCGACTGTGCCATCATCCCTTTCAAACTTTATCAACATTAGAGATGGGATGATGACTGCCTTTGAGAGGTTAAGGGTTGGACGGCCAATAATCAGATTGTAGGCAGTCAGCTCTTCTACAACAAGAAACTTGACAACCATATGCCGGCCCTTACCCTTCTCTCCGAACCGGATGGGTAGATCAATCATGCCCACCGGATGTACTACTCCTCCCCCAAAACCTACAAGAGGGTATGAGGCCGGAAGCATGCTACTGGGCTTATACTTGAGTTTCTCCAAGCACCGGTAGCTGATGAGGTCGGATGAGCTCCCGGTATCAATCAAGATCCGGCCAACTCTTTGATTGGCGATTTTGCACTCGATGACTATGGGGTCATCATGAGGCCGCCTGACCTCGCCCCTATCTCTCTCGGAGATGTTAACTTCCGGAAATGAATATTCAGACGACTGGCCCTCATCCACTGAGTTGACCAGTTTCCAAATGTTGTCTTTTGTGCCCCGGATGGTAGGCCCACCTCCCGCAAATCCACCGGCTATGGTCAGGATGGTTTCCTCATCCGTATCCGATTGAGTAGTCGTCTTCTTTGGGGGTGGTCCTCTTGCTTGTTTAGGAGTACCCCTTGACTTGGAAAGATAAGATTTGAGAGCCCCCTCATCAGCGAGCCGGTCGAAGAGCCGCCTGAGGCTAAAGCAACCCTCAGTGTCGTGGCCAATTTCCTCGTGAAAAAGACAATATTTGCTCTTATCCCGGGCGCTTAGAGGACTCTTCATAGGAGACGGTTTTTCAAGATTCAACCGGTCCTTTACTTCGTTGAGAATGGAGGCACAGTCCTTGTTGAACTCGTACTTTGGCACATACGGATCCGACCTCTTCCTTTTCTAGAAAGGTTGTCCGGATGAGTCTGCCGCCCATACCCCCTTTCTCTTGTCTTCCTTTTTGGCCGACTGGGTAGGCCGACTCTCTTTTTTATCGGATCTTTTGTAATCCGTTGGAAGTTTAACAGCACACAATTCCACTGCCTGAATGTAGGCCTCCGCCTTCATGAGCGCCTCGTGAAGAGTGGAGACCCTCTTCCTAACCAAGTCAAACTTAAAAGTTGATCCATCTTTTAAGCCTTTGAAGAAATCAGTATAGGCAACGTCATCAGACAATCCATGGATTTGGATCCTCATCAGGTTAAACCGCCTGACATATGACCGGAGCCCCTCTTTGTCTCCCTGTTGTATTGCCCCTAGATCAAGGCTTGTTTTCTTGGCAGGGATGTTCATAGAAAAGTTGGACGTAAACCAGTAGGCCAAGGTCCTGAAATTATTGATGCATCCGGCTGGGAGGTTACCAAACCAACGTTGAGCAATCCCTTTCAACGTAGCCGGGAAGCACTGGCACCATGAGGCGTCATCCAAATCCTGCAAATACATCAGGTTGGTGTATGCCATAAGGTGATCTTCCGGGTTGGTGGTACCGTCGTAGGCGCCTACCAACACGTTTTTGATTTTAGACGGCTGGGTCATCTCGGTGATTTCTCTGGAGAACGCCGTTGGCTGTTCCCCAAGGTTGAGCAGCCGGAGCTGCCAGTCCATAGGCTGGACGGGCGGCTGATGCTGCCCCCCGAAAATACCTGCCTGTGCATAGGGGGATCCAAAGGGCGTATACGGTGTTCCATGCACTGCCGGTTGGATCATATGGGGGCCGGATCGAGCGGAAACCTCGCTCGTCCGGCTGTCATTGTTTGTTCTCGAGTGCCTTCCTGAGGTGGCATTGAAGCTGTCTCGAAAGGTCGATGTTGATGCCGACTCGGATCGCTGAGTCTTTTTATCTTGGATGAGCGTCCGGGCGTCAGAATAGACTTTCTTGGTTCCATCCGGCTGAATGTGCCGGACGGGCTTTCTGACTCCATCTATAGGAGTGTGCATCTTTGAGAAATCAAAGAGCCTAGCCGACATGTTTGACTTCGGATGCGGGGTAGATGCTCTACCCTTTACTGTTTTGGCTGTCTTTTTACCGTGACGCCTTTCTTCCGCCTGACCCTTACGGGGGCCGGCTGTATAGTCCAGAAGGCCTTTGATCTCTCCTTTGAAGCTCATCATCATATTCATGAGCTCATCTCTGGAGACTGGGGAGTCTCCAGCGGTAGAGGTTAACCCAAGCGGCCCCCTAGTTGGCTTGCTAGGAGCCGCCTGGTTCCCTTCCCGTTCTCTCTTATCTTTGGAACGGGTGTTCTTGGTCCTTAAAGAGCCATCCGCAGCAGTGTAGGCTTCCAAGTCATAGTTATCGGCTGTATCTTGGTCCGAATGGACCTCAACCTCCCCAGTAGGCAGATTGCCTTTACCAGGTAGTATAGGCTCAGATGTCATCTAGAAAGTACTCTCCCCACAGACGGCGCCAGATGTTTGGGGGTATTTTATGTCCTTCGGGAGAGTTACAATTTCCTAGCAGACTTCCTTCTTACGCCTGTACCTGCACAAGTAACGGAGACTCCGGATGGGGGTGGGAGTTCCGCCTCCGAAGATTAAGTTAGTATCTTTTCGAAGTGGAATAAGAACAATAAAAGCTTCTCGGTTCGAGAGCGTTTCAGTAGGTTTGGGCTTTGTTTGTTTTTTTGTGTGGTTGCCATTAATGTGTGTTCTCCATAAATGAGGTCTACCCTTACTATTTATAGTAAGGGAGAACTGTACCTCAATTAGGGTATAAGGGACACGTGTCGCAAAGGGATTGGGCCTTTGCAGACCGTTGAAAGATTGACACGTGTCAAGCCTTTATTGGGCCACGTGTCTTAGGGTATTTTCACCCTAAACATTATCCACATCAAACTAACTTTTATCTGGGGTACCCAAACCTGCTCTGCTAAGTTGAATATTATCCTTGAGATGGACCCATAATAGTTTAAATAGTGTCGGGTCAGTATTGTTTCACAAACACTACATAAGAAGCTTAGACAGGTCATATAGAATTTCAAAAGCATATGATCCAACTTACCCGTTCTCTTGCCAATGAATTGAACTTTTGGAGCAAAAATGCTTTGGGATCCATTTGACCAGGAGGCCTCCCAATTCCTATTCAAGGTTGCATTTATCAGCATATTAACAAATCTAACAAGCCATGGATCAAAACTAAGCAATTCAAACATACCAATTCTAAGGCGAGCAAAGTCTCTGTTCCCTCTAAAATGATCAATTACACTCTTCAGCCTGGAGGCACAATAGGAATAAGTAATAGGTCACTTCCACTGGGTAGAATTAATATACAGAGCACTTCATATAAACCAAAAGAAGCAGATAGGCTTTAGGGCATGCTTGGATAGGGGGAGATGTATTACTATGGTAATAAAAGTCAAACTAAGCAAAATGAAAGTGAAAATAAGGAAGGAGGAGATAGTGATGGTATGATTATAAGGAAAATTATGTAGTGATGGTGTGGTATGAAGTGAAGAAAGAGAAACTAATACCCTCATTTTGGGGGTAATAGTTACACTAGGGGGAGGGTGGGTAACAATTAACCTCATCATGAGGGTAATAATGACTCCATCTCTCTCTTTTCCTCATGGCACAATTATCTTATTTCATTTGTAAACACCATGCCTCCTACAACAACACCTCTAATTACTTATGTTTTTTCAAGTTTGACTCTTATTACCCCCTTAATATATTACCCCCAATCCAAGCAAGGCCTTAGTTTTAACTCTTTAAGTATAACACAACACACAATAGCGGATTGGTGACTCAACATTGTAACTTCCAAGAAACCAAGATCCTCAAATACTCTATAGTGCTATATTATAATTTAATCATCTTCAAGTAGAACCTAACAACTAAACTCTGAAGGAAAAACAAACTGAGAAACAAACACCGGAGAAGAAAACATGGATATTCCCTTGCCCTATAAACAGCTCAGCTAACACATTTTCAAATTACAGAGTATGCTTGTGTTAGCAAAGATTTCTTTTCTTTTTTTAAGGCTCTACTACATGAACTCTTTTTCTTCTTTTCTTACTTCCAGAAATTAAGGTCTCATTTTAAATTTAAGCATCAAAAGCTAACCTCATGGAAAACTTTCAAGTAAGCCTTTTCTTTTTCTTTTCCTATTTGGATCATTAGGGGGGTGATTACTAATACAGTCCCCTGACAATCTTGGCTCAGGCGGAAGCGGAAAAATGGGCCTAATCATCCCAGCTAGGATTATGCTTGTATTGGCAAAGATATGTAAATGTTAACCCAAGATATAAGAATGAAATAAAGACGATGACAATTTGTGAATAAGTGAAAATTTGATTAAATTAGTGAGTCAAATTGACATGACAACTGAACAGGAGATACCTCAATTCAATATGCATAAATGAAGATATTTGATGATTGTTCTGATACTCTGAAAAAAAAGGAAGCAGCTATATGTGAAACCCTGTAGTTTGAGAGCATACCCATCGTGACTGCTATGACCACCATTGTGTTGAAGCCGAAGTACGCCACATGGCAACTCTTTGTCATCATGGAACTGCAGATTGAAAAGAAGCCTCGAATAGTACAGCTTGTCCAAAAGGATCATGTTGAGCCAGGGGAAAGAATAGTAATAAAGTTAGCAATGATTGAGAATAAATTACCACCATCACTCGATTTAGAGGTAGCTTGTAATATGCTGCTAGAGGACCTGTCTACAATCAAGTGAACAATGATTAGCACCAATCTCCTGAAACAGAAGCCTGATCACTTATTTTGAAAACAGAATCCATTAATGAAGCATCTGATATTCTTGTAATAAGCAGAGTATCATCCACATTCATTCAAAAATCTCAACAATAACACAATAGAGTTGTAGGAAGCTGACTCACAGATTCGCCACATAAGTTCATGTAAGTCTGAGGTTTTGCTAGGAAAATTGGGACATTGCCAATGAACCCTGGGAACAGAATTACAAATTTCAAATAAATTTTTGAGGAGGTCAAATTAATCAGAAACAGTTCCTTAGCTGGTAGCAGTTAACTGAAGAAGAAAGAGAAGCAAAACCTTGGGCAAATAAAGCTTTACAATGAACATTATTGAGTGAAATGCCAAGAGAATCAGCAAGTGCATCAATCATTTCGAAGCCAACATTATGACGAGTGCCTTTGAATTTATCACCAGGATTGCCTAATCCCACAAAAAGCCATGGCAATGGAGGATTAACACATGTACTCAAACTCCGTCCAACAGCACTGTTTTCTCTGCTCAAACACCTCAACATCAGCCAGCCTTCCTCGACCAGGCCCGTCCCTGAGACAGAGTAGGAGGGGCGGCCGCCCTAGGCCCAGGGAAAAGAGATTTAATTTCATATCCAATTATCTCATAATTTTAGGGATATTTGATTCAATAATCAAATTATGCTCATAATTTTCTTTTCTTTTGGATATGATGTTTCATAATCTAAGAATTTACGAACCCTGAATTTAAAGCACTGATAATTAAATTAGATTAGATCAAATATAAACCCTAGATTGTGAAATTGATGTGATGATAACAACAACAAACAACTTACCTTAGAAGCTGCTTCAATGGGAAATACAAGAATTAGATTCAACGGAGAACGCTTCAATGGAGAACGTTGAGTGCGCTTCAATGAAATAACTGAGAGAGGTAGGAAATAGGAATGGAGGCCTTTAAAAGCCATGACCCGCCGTAGTTATAATATGGGTCTGATAAATAAATGGGGCGGATCATGATCGTCTAATTATGAGATAGGTAGGCTTTATAAAGGTTTTAAGTAAACATATTTTAAATATCAATAATAATAATAATTATAATTATTATTATTATGAGAGAAGGATGATGTTGCGTTGCTGAAGCGGGTTCAGGCATTCGTTAGGACGCACGATATTGGTGCTCGTGCAGCTGCTCACATCCTCAACAAGATTGGGTTTGCTATAGCTAGAGGGGTGGGGGCCCAAATTGTATCTCGGCTCCCCACTAATTTCTTGTAAATCGTTTGACTTTGTAGGTTTGTGTTTTTTTTTTAAATAATAATATTAAACCCCAACCACTTTCCTTCCTCAAAATAATAATAATAATAATAATAATATATAACTATATACTAAAAGAAACACCAGCAATGACACGTGTTATTTCTTGGTGTGCCCTTAATTTTTTTTTTTTTTTTGGAAAAGAAAAAATAAATCATAGAATAAAATCTTATACGAAAATAATTTATTATATATGTTAATAACAAAGATAATTACTTTAAATATAAAAGACTAGATGGAAGCTCGTGCGATGCACGGTTTTTTCATCTAAGATTTTTAATTATTTGATTTAATTTATTTAATAATTTCAGACAAAATTACAAAAGTTTAATATTTATTTATTTATATTATAATTTATAATGAATTTATTAAATGCAAATAAATTGTAAATATGATTTTTTTTTTCCGTTATATATTCTTTAATGTGAAATGATAAACTTTTAATAATTTAAATCCTAAATTATTATTCATTATTTTACCATATCTTTTATTTCGATAGAATCACCAACCTCGTCTACAACCAACCTACTACATCAATTGATAAATTATGTTAGCCAAACTGAAATTGATATAAATTAAATCTGTATATTTATATAAACTAAATCAATATATTTACCAATAAATGAAAAATTGTTGCAATATAAAATCAAATCTATGCATTGGAATTTTTTCATCATCTCTAAAAAATTTCCAAAGCCATCCATATATTAAGTATACAACATCTAATCGTATGCTATTACATAAACAAATAATCGTTAAGTATCCTAAATAAATACAATGTAACTAATAATTATAAATTTAAATTTAAACATAAAATTTTAAAAATTACCCAAGCATTGATGACCTAAAACTAACACAAAATTCGCTTGATAGGGTTTTGTATTGATACGAAATTTTATTTATGTCGTATGATGTGTTGGATCTGCATGGAAAAAAACATTTAGTAAATAAACATAAACATATAACGTTGAGTATCCCATATTAATATAATGTAAGTAATAATTGGAAATGCTAATTTAAACATAGGATTTTAAAATTAAGCTAAAATTACCCGGCCATTGATGACCAAAAATTAACAAAAAATTACTAACACAAAATTCGCTTGATGGGGTTTTTTATTGGTACGAAATTTTTGTCGTGTCGTATGATGTGTCAATTTATAATGGTAGGTATCACAAATTTTAATTTAATTATAATTAATGAACAATTAGTATTTCTTATCATAAATACTATCAAAATTTATCTTATAATGGTAGGTATCAAACTTTATTATAAGCATTTATCATTTAAATATTTCTTAGTATATTTTTTTTGGATTTCTTATACTCGTAGGATTGAATTAATAAATTTATCTTTTCCTATATTTTTACTTTATTTTTTTCATCAAAATAATTTAATTCGTGGATTATAATCTACGTGGCATTAAAATTTTAGATATATCAAATCTAATTCGTTACTTTTATCTAGGTGGCGACATAATTTTTTAATTCAAAAATAAAATACAAATTTTTCTTCTTATTGGTCGAAATAAGTATATTTCTTACGTGGCGCTCCGAATGCTCTTCAAAAATACCACATTTATTTATATATATTAGATTTGACTTACCTTTTCACACAAACATTTATGACTATAATAGAAAATATTAATATGATTTGCGACATATAATGATTTACTACACGAGAGTACTTATATTTTTTTTCTCCTAAAGTTGTTTATTTATTGATTAGAATTCACAGTAGAGTAGTGCATATACTTTTACTATCCCTTGAATGATAATAACCCCACTTTTTCCCTTCTCTAAGTGAAAATGAGTTACTGTATTAAATTATTTTATTTTATTTCTAGAAACATTACTATTTACTAACTTAATATATAAAAATTAGTTAGACTATACTTCACAATATTAATATAAACACACACAAAATTCTCATGAAGATCAATATTACAGTATTATTTATTGCCCTCATCCAAAACATGTTGATACTTGATGGGCGTTAGAACGGTCGTACATTCCACACTCAATCAAACACATTTATTAACAAACACCTTACAAACCAAGCATAATGACAAGTAAGAGTTCGGTCCACAGGAACAGGATATGATTGCCAAAGATCTTTACACTTAAGCTAACTCGAAGTCAATTGGTGAATAGGGGTTCGTCAAGAAGACAAACAAACTATGGTTCTAAATCAATGAATTAAAGATACTAGGGAATGAGATCCACTCAACCAAGGCAAATAGGCAAACGGAGAGTAAAATAGACAAGATATAGCAAGGACTATATGTAAAATCAACCTCATGCAATTAGAAAACAACTCACACTACTAAACTTAGATTCCTCATTAGTTTAGCAATAGATGATACATAATCAAATTACAATAAGTAATGACGTACTCAATTTACACTTCCATGTCAAATTAGGCATATCATACTATCAAGCTCCTTAGTCAAGGGTAGCTAAACCTATCATGAGGAACTAACAAGCAATCTCATATAATCAATTTAATTGCAATACAAACATCAATGCTTCTCCCACACTTGCATAGTTAACCCAAAAGGTCGAGCTTCACCCAACCCCTAGCAAGAAAACTACTCACAACTCATGTTTATCAACATGCAATCAAGAATTAGGGTTCTAAATACTTCAATAATTGGGGAAAAGTGGTTAACAATTGAAATAACTATCATCCAATAACAGATTACCAAGAACTAAGAAGATTTAAATAACATGCAAATACCAAATGAAATCTGAAATTAAAAGGAAGAAGGTTGGAGAAATTACTAATTGAAGCTTCAAATGTTGAATACAAATTGCCCAACTTTGAGAATAATTCTTGAATTTCACTAATACAATGATTTGATTTGATGAAAACTAAGCTAAATTAATCCTAAGGAATGTTTCAAACTAAGAGAGGTTTCTGAAAACTAGGCTACTGTCCTCCTTCTCCCCTCTTTTTTAAACGATCTCAAAAGGACCTTAAATAGTCCGTACAAAATTGGCTGAGATCGGGAAAAGGTCCGACCGAACTCTGGGTAAGTTCGGTCGGACTCAGGGTAGGTTCGGTCGAACCCTGTGTAGGTTCGGTCGAACCTCCCTGATCCTTGTTTGGTCGAACTTTTGAGGTTCGACCTCTCCTGCAAAATTGCTGAAAACAGGTTTGACACTGCCTTCACTGCACCCTGGAGGTTCGGTCGAACTTTTGAAAAGTTTGACCACACCAAGGTTCGACCGGACCTTTCAGAGGTTCGGCCACACCTCCTCTTGCACTTCCTTTTCTTGCTTCCTCTCCTTCCCTTTTGCTCCTCTTGCCTTTGTCCATGGCTTCCATGCTTGGCCAAGGGGCCTCCCACCGTGCATAGGACCGTCACGGAACCTGCAGAAGATACCAAAGTTCACGAGAGCATGGGGATGATAAAATAATGCATAAAGATTATCAAAATAAGCATTACTTTTCATCAACACAAAAAGAAGCCATAAGAGGATAATGAGGTGGAAAAACCTAAGAAAAATAAGAGGAAAAAGACCTAAATACTACCCCTAAGAGTGACATAAATGTCACTCATCAAACTCCCCCACGCTAAGCCTTTGCTCGCCCTCGAGCAAAGCAAAGGAAAAAGAACAAGGGAGAAAGAATTAGTTATTCAAACATGCAAGGAACAAAAGAAAAACCGAAATTGCTTTTAGCAAAAGCAACAAGCCATTTAAACCCCAAGGTCGCCGATGAGGACGAGTTGTGATCTCGTGAGGGTTTCCAGAGAGCATACCCCACAACTCTTACAAAATTGCGTTCAAGACAAACCAAAAACAAGGGAAAGAGAAACAACAAATCCAACACAAATCATAGCCAAATCGAGCTTTTGGAGATAACAAACATGAATGAGTGTCAAACTTTCTGAGTAGTAGAAGTGAGCATGCAAGGGGATGCCGAAAGTTGATTGAAGGATAAGTTATGCTAATCATAGAGAACTCAAACATGCACCACTCCCCCCGCATTCCATACAATCTTACCGCGTTCCCTCATCTAGATTCAAATCCGCCCTTGGAGATAGCATCAAGTGACTCCTCGAAGGAGCCGGAACAAAGATAAAACACTGCAAAATAGGGGAACCCGACATCTCACCAAGTCATGCCTTCTCCATATGCTTGAGTTCCAGCTCCCTCCACCGATTAGTGACTCAACCAACCTAGGTCAACAGGGCATTGAAAGGGTTATAACGATGGCTAGGGGGTAAGGGTGTGGAGGAATTTGGAAATTGGTGCTTAGCCTAACCGTGAAGCAAAGGGTGATCAAGCCTCTTTTTCAAAATCAATCATCAACCAATTTTCAAACTACGTTGCCACAATCTTGAACTATAATGCCAAACACTTTTGAGCTTTCGCTTTCCTCTTACATCTTCATTCATCAACCCTTCGTTTGTCACATTCTCTTTTTTTTTTTTTTTAGCTTCAAAGGCTTTTTCTAGGATTTACATTTGCTTTTCTTGAACATATATTCACAAAAACACTGCTTCACTTTCCAAGTAGAACCATTCCCTTCCAAATTTCAAATCAAAACTACAATAAGCCCTCATGGCTTGAGCTTCACGATTCTAAGGGTGAAAGTAAAACAAAAGGGTCATGGGCTTGCAATGTGCTATAATCAAGGAGGGGAAGATTCAAC